AAACCCCCCCTGCACTCCCCCTATCCCCCAAAAACCTCACCGGGGACCCCCCAAACCCCTTCTGGGACCCTCCTAACCCCCCTCTTCTGTCCCCCAGGTGTCACACCCTGCCCTCCCTCCCGAGGTGGCCCCAGCGGTGGCCGCACAGGACCGGGCCCTGGCAGCCCTGGTGGCCCTGGCCGAGGCCTTGGGGACACCGGACAGCGTCCCCGTGGCACTGGCTGAGGCCGAGGCCGCGCTGAGCCAGGCCCAGGTGGCCATGAAGGGGCTGGAGGCAGCCCAGGAGGCCGCGGTGGCCCCGGCGGTGGCCCTGGGGACCCTGGGGGACGAGGACGAGCAGCGGCTCTGGTGGCTCGCGGCCATGGCCGAGGCGGCAGCGGCGGCGCTGGGACGCGAGGAGGAACGGGCACGGCGGTGGCAGCGCTGGCTGCGGGCTGGGCACGGGGTCACCATGGGGCTGATGGTGCTGTGCGGGGCCGTGTGTGAGTAAAAAACCAGTATAAACCAGTATAAACCAGTATAAACCATTACAGACCAGCAGTGATTGGTATAGACCAGTATGGAGCAGTTTAGAGCAGTGGGAGGCAGTATGGACGAGTATAGACCAGTAGAGACCATTATGAACCAGTATAGGCCAGTATAAACCAGTTCAGACCAGTATGCATCTTTATAGAACAGTGGGAGGCAATTCAGACCAGTTCAGACCAGTGTGAGTTTCTACAGACCAGGAGGGACTTTCTCCTGCCCCTACCACTATAGACCAGTATGGACCAGTACAGAGCTGTGGGGACCAGTTCAGACCAGTATGAACCAGTATAAACCAGTTCAGACCAATATGGACAATATGAATACCTACAAACCAAGAGAGACTTTCCCCTGCCCTGACCAGTATAGGCCAGTTCAGACCAGTATAGACCAGTATGGACCAGTGTAGAGCATCATGGGGCAGCAGGGGATGCAGCAACCAGTACAGACCAGTTCAGACCAGTATGGAGCCCTACCGACCAGTGGAAACCTTCCCCTGCCCCAGGATGGGGACACTGGGATGGAAGTGGTTACACTGGGACAGGGACAGTGGGACAGGACTGGGGATGGGGACAATGGGGCGGTGGCACTGGGATGGTGACATTGGTATGGGGACAATGGGGCGGTGGCACTGGGATGGTGACATTGGTATGGGGACAATGGGGCAGTGGCACTGGGCTGGCAGTGGGAGCACTGGGATGGAACTCAGGACGCTGGGTTGGTGACACTGGAATGATGACACGGGTGTGGTGGCACTGGGATGGAACTGGGGACACTAGGTTGGTGACACTGGAATGTTGACATGGGGCTGGTGGCACTGAGGCAGCCCTGGGGACAATTGGGTGGTGGCAGTGGTATAGAACTAGTGGCACTGGGATGGAACTCGTGACACTGGGACACAGCTGGGAACACTGGGACAGGGACACTGAGATGGGATAGGGGATACTGGGTCAGGACTGGGGAAACTGGGGTGGGATTGGTGACACTGGGATGGGGACACTGGGGCAGAATGGGGGACACTGGGGTGAAACTGGGGACACTAGGATTGAACTGGTGACACTGGGCTGGTGCCATGGGTGGCACTGGTGACACTGGGATGACTCCCTTGGTTGGGGTACTGGGATGGAACTGGGAACACTGGGAGGGGACGCTGGGATGGAGACATCAGGAAGGGACTGGGGACATGGGACACAACTGGGAACGCTGCTGCAGGGACACTGGGACAGGATGGAGACGCTGGGATGGGACTGGTGACACTGGGAGGGAACTGGGAACACAGGGATTGTGACATTTGGATGGATCTGGTGACAGTGGGATGATGACATTGGTATGGAGACAAGGGGGCAGTGGCACTGGACTGGAACTGGGAGCACTGGGATGGTGACACTGGGTTGGTCACATCGGGACAGCCCTGGGGACACTGGGGTGGTGACACTGGGATGGAACTGGTGACACTGGGGTAGTGACACTGGAGCAACCCTGTTGGCACTGGGGTGGTGACACCAGCACAGGGACACTGGGCTGGAACTGGGCACAGTGGGAGGTGACCAGTGACACTGGGATGGGGCAACTGGGACAGGACTGGGGACACTGGGCTGGTGGCACAATGATGGTACTGGTGACACTGGGAGACAACTGGGAACATTGGGACAGGGACACTGGGACAGGATGGGGGACAGTGGGACAGGACTGGGAAAACTGTTAGGGAACTGGTGACACTGGGAACACTGGGATGGTGACATTTGGATGGATCTGGTGACACTGGGGTGCTGACAATGGTATGGGGACAATGAGGCAGTGGCAGTGGGCTGAATGGCACTGGGATTGAATGGAAGCACTGGGATGGAACTGAGGACACTGAGATGGTGGCACTGGGACAGGACTGAGGACACTGTTCCTGCAGCTGGGTTGGTGACGCTGGGCTGGTGGCACTCAGGTGGTGACAGTGGGACAGAACTGGTGGCACTGGGATGGAGCTGGTGCCACTGCTCTGCCCCTGGTGCCACCAGTCTGGTGGCACTAGACAGGTGGCACTGCCGTGTCCCTGGTGCCACATGTCCAGTGTCCCCATGTCCCTGCAGTGTCCCTGGACTCGGCCCGCGCCGCCCTGGGGGTGACCGAGGACTGTCACCTGCTGCTGGCCCTGACTGTGGTGGCCGTGTCCTGCGAGGTGGCCTGGCGGGGCTTGGGGACATCGCGGCGTCACCTGGCCACCGCTGCGGACCACCAGCGGGACATGGCCCTGCGCCTGCGGGACCGCGCCCGGCGGGTGGCGGCCACCAGGGCCAGCGCCGAGGCCGCCGCGGCCACCAACGAGGCCACTGCGGACGCGCTGGGGCGGCTGGAGAAGGTGACGCGGGACCTGAAGACGTTGGTGGCCGCTGTCAACCAGGATAGGGAGGTGACGCCGTGGGGGACACGGGGACAGGGCTTCCCCAGCGCTGCCCGGGCGCTCGGGGACATCGTAGGGACGTGGAGGGAGGTGGACAAGGAGGTGGCGCGGAGGCTGGAGGCGGCCCATAGAGCGCTGGTGGGGCAGGGGTAGGGATGGGCTGGGGACAGGGGGGTGGCATTGTCACCGCTGGGGCACAGGGACACCCTGAGGGACATTGGGGACATCCCCGTGTCCTTCCCTTGGGGACCGCCAGGCCACCCTGACATCCCCTGTCCTGTTTTGGGTCACCACAATGTCCCTGATGTCCCCACAGTGACCAAAACAGGATCCCAGTGTCCCCTAGTGTCGCCAGCAGGACATCAGGAGACATTTGCGCCCTGCTGGGGGCACGGGGAGTACATCAAGGCCTGTTGGGGACACTCAGGGGACATCAGGGTCCCACTGGGGACACTGGGGGGATATTTGGGCTCTGTTGGGGGCCCTGAGGGAATGCTGGGGACATTGGGCTCCTGTTGGGGACATCAGGGAAGACATTGAGGTCCTGTTGGGGACACTGAGGGGATACTGGGGATCTGTTGGGGGACAACAGGGCCCTGCTGGGGACATTGAGGGGACATCAGGGTCCTGTTGGAGATACTCAGGGGACACTGCAGCCATGTGGGGACCCTGAGGGGACATCGGGGTGCCGTGGGGGCCATCAGGGGGCCATCCAGCACCCGCAGAAGGGGGGGCGGGGCTGGGGTGGTGATGTCACCTCTTCCTGTTTACTGCCGGCTGGGCCACATTCCTGCGTTCCTGCGTGTCACCCGAGTGTCCCCCAGGCGTGTCCCTGTCCTGTCCTCTGAGGCCATGGAACCCTGTGAGGTATGACAATCCAGGTGCAGAGGGAGCAGGAGGGGACAGGGGATGGCAAAGGGGACAGCAGCGTGGCAGGAACGGGGGGGTGACAGAGGGGTGGTGGGGACCGAGAGTGGCAGGGGGGAACAGTGGAGGGTGGCAGGGGGTGGCAGAGGCGACGAGGGGGTGACAAAGGGACAGAGGGGACAGCAGAGCCCACCAGGGAGCACACAAATGGGAACCCCAGGAGGGAAGAGGGACCATCCCAGAAGGCTACAAGTGCCACAAGGTCCCCGTCACCTCCCCTGTCCCCTCCACAGCTGCTCCAGTTGCTGGTGGACGTGGTGGCCAGGCTGGGTGAGCTGGCAGCCACCGTGGCCTGGATGTACGGGGACGTGCTGCTGGCCGTGTCCCCAAGGTCCCTGCACAAGGCCCTGGAGGCATTCATCAATCACCTCCAGGACACCCTGGGCCACCCCGGTGTCACCTCCCTGGGCCGGGCCCTGGCTGCCCTCAGGGCCAACCAAGGGGCCACCTGGGCCCATGTGACAGCTGCGGCCAGCGCCTGGCGGGACTCGGTGGCCACGTTCGAGGACAACTGGACCCGGCTGGCCAGGGAGGCCAGCGAGCTCCGTGACACCTGCAGGGACACGGCCACCAGGGAGGCCACCACTGCGGCCACCGCCAACACCCAGGCCAGGGAGCAGCGGGTCAAGGGTGAACGCTGGGGGACATCTCTGCACAACCTGTGGGATGCGGCCTGGCAGCTGCCGCTGGTCCTGACCAAGGAGAAGATGGCCTCAGCCATCACTGAGCATGATGCCGGTATGGAGGCGGCTGCCAATGAGGTGGAGGCGACCACGAAGGCCATGGAAGAGGCTGTGGTGGCCGCCAACAAGGCAGAGGCAGCCACCAGGAGGGGACAGCGGGCAGAGAGGGCCCTGGGCCCCCTGGAGCGCTTGGTGGCTGCGTGTGACAAAGCCACCGCGTTCCCCCACGAGCTGCTGCGCCGGCTCAGGGCCATCGAAGCCTCCCTGGAGGGGATGTCCCCAACAACTGAAGTCCCCAACAGCTTGGTGGCTGCGGTGGCCGAGGCCGAGCGGCTGTGGAAGGCCAGCGCCCGGCTGGCCAGATGTCACCTGCTAGGAACACTCGGGAACATCCGCACGCTCCTCTCGAGTAGGTCTGGTAGCTCTGGTGGCCGTGCAGTGGCCATGCAGTGCCAAAAAGCCGCCGAGGCCATCCCGAAGTTACTGCAGGGACAGTGATGTCACCGCTGTGATGTCATCAAGGGTGGTGAAATCATCAGGGACATCACTGGTGTCACCTATCTACTCCCTCCTCCCCGCCAGAGATTTGAGACAAGTTTGGGGAATTTCCTGGGAATTTTCATTAAAATTGCCCAAAATCCTGATGGGAATTCCTGGGGTCATGTCACTGGGGACACTCTTGGGACACTCTGGGGCCATTCAGGGACACTCATTGACGGGTTGGGGGTGGTGAATGAGGCAGCTTTCCATCATGGGTACAGCAGATCATTTCTTGAGCCTCCTCAAAAACCTTCAGGTCCCTTTCCCTTTGTGGGCAGTTTCATCTCAATGCCCAATTTCCCTGCATTGGTGACAGATTGGGCCTCGGTTGTTCAATTGCCCTTTCCCCTTTTAGGGCCTCTCCCCCAGGGAGCTCTGGTCCCGTTATCCTCGCCCTGCACCCGTTTGCCTTGCCCTGGCAGGGTCTCATTTCCCTCTGGGGTGGGTCCTTGCATGCTGGTTCCCCTCAGCAATAGCAGCTGCCATTATTTTCTCTTTCCCCTTGTCCCTCTGTACCTTGGCCTTCTGGGCTCCTTTTATCAGGTCATTCAATCCCTTATCCGGCCATTCCCCCAGTCTTTCTAGCATTTCCTTATATCCAGCCAAGCACGAGTGATAAAGGTTATCTTCAATAAAGCTTGTCCAGCTATGATATCAGAGTCTATCCCTGAGTATTGTCTCGTATTTCTTTTTAACCTCTCCAGCCACTCACCTGGAGTCTCCTCTTTTTGTTGTTCAGCAAATGCCTTGTGGGCGTTCTGAGTTTGGGGGGAACAGCCTCCCTAATTGCCCCTGACGATTAATGCTCTATAATCTTCCATGTTTTGCCTTCCACCGGGGTTATGGTGGTCCCAATTAGGGCATTGCAAGGGCATTTTCTGCTCCCCAGGGCGTCCGTGGTGTTCATGTTCCCTCTCCCAAATCCACATCCCTGCTGCTCAGATCATTTGTCTTTCCTTGGGTGTAAACAAAAGGTTAATTATAGATTGTACTTCGTCCAAGGCATAAACACTGGGTCCCAAAAATTGGTCTACTTGTTCTGTTAATGCAATCGGATCTTCTAGTAGAATTTTAAATTCCTTTTTAAATGCTCTCCCTTTGCAGGAATTAAGTGGGGCAACGACAAACCCCAATCCCTGTGTGCCCCAGCCAATGGCTCTTCCCAGAGGGGGTTTAGTGCCACTGCTTGGTTCTCATTTTTCCACTCCTCTCACTGGACCGCTCTGCCCCAGATATTCTGGCTGGGTCCATCTGGGGTGCAGGGGGTGCATCGGGTGCTGGCAGATATGGAGGGGGCACATACTCTAAGGGGTCCCAGTTTTTGGTTTCTTTTCATTTAAACATGTTCTCCTTTTCCAGGGAAGCCTCGCCCTTCCAACTGGCAGCAGAATCACATTTTTCCTGACTGACTGGTTCTTAGGCATTCACATGAATATTCAAAGTCTGGCACATCCACCCCTCAAAGGAACTCTGTTTTGGCCAGATCACATCAATGATAAATGAGCAGATCTTATCTCCTGATTAGTCTATTTTCTCATACAATAACGTATCGTCTTCACTTCATTTGCATTCTTTGTGTCAGGGTTATGTTCCCACTGTGCCAATTTTATCCCTAGGGGCTATCGGGAGGTATATCCATTGATGTTTCCCTGCTGCCCTTTCCCCTGGAGGTTTTCTCTTTGCTTGCTTTGTGTCCCATTTTCTTGGCTTATCCCAGCACTGTCCTCACAACTTTTTTTCCTTCTTTCTTAACTTCCAAGCAAATCCTACCCTTCTCTTTTCACACATATCTTCCCAGTCCTTCTCAGGTACTGTTCAGGCTCTGGGAACTAAATGCTGTTTTCCCACACACTATTTCCTACAGAAATTTAAAAATATTTCATGCCTGAGTGCCTGGCCCCAGGCACTCTTTTGTGTGGCTGTGCAATGCCACCTCTCATGACAGATTTCACACTCACACCACACGCAAGGTTCACATCCCAGTCCACAACTGAAACACAAAATTACACTCATATGTGTTACGATGGCGGTCATTCCTCGGAGACACACAAAGGACACGAACTCTCAAAGGCCCTTGTGACAAACAGCCTCACTATTGTTCAGACCCTCTTCATACAGGGGTTTGAATCTGCTGGCTTAAGACAGCGGACTGGATGGGTTTTCTCTCCGCCCAGCTCTCTGGCCAGTGCTGTATCTGCGCCTAAGCTTGAGCAGGGTTGGCTGAGGTCTTTGCTTGGGTTTGAACCCAACCTATCCTCGCCTTATCCAGGGACTTGTTTCCTTCTAGGCTGGCTGAGTTTAGGGGGCAGCTTCAGATCAGCTGCAATGTGACAACTCACCCTCTTGGTTAGATTAAAAAATGTAAATGATGAGCCTAGTTGAACAAGGCTTTTTCACCCAACTCAACAAGCCCAGTCTCCCACAGCTAGTGATGTACCTCACGTATCACTGGAGTTGTGATCTTCACATCCAGAAGCTGTCAGGCAAAACCACCAACATTACAATCCTTTAGGTCAGCATGTCACAGGCTTAACGTTTAGAAGTTACAAAGTTCCAACTTAACACTACAAACAATAAACAATTCAACTCAAATCTATTCCAATGAAAACCACACATATTTCTACCAGTGATGTTTTCTAAATATTTGAGTCTTGGAGGGAGGTGATGGGCAGATTGTCTTTCCATTGACAATCTTCTGCTCCTGATGAGCCGTTGGCTTGCCAGGTTATGTTGTGATTTTATTGGAAAACATCAGAGAACCATGAGAACAGGAGAGTTTGAAATAAGCATCAAAAGTTTTATAACATCCCTAGTGGCTTTCAGAGCTTGTTGCTCATACTTTTCTCCTTGTTGAAGTAAAATAAATGTTCATACCTTAATGATGGTTGTTCCTCTACGGAGGTTAATCCGCCTATTTCTTTGGTGGGGTTTTCCTTCCATTTGTCAGCTTTTTTCTTTCTCTGACTCCTACGCCGTTCAGTTTTTCAGCCTTTTTGTCTTTTCCCGGCTCCTACACTGTCTGGGTTCCTTGCCTTACCGGCTTTTTCTGGCTCTTTCGCAGTTCAGTCTCCCCTGCTCTGCACACAGAAAATGGCTGAGCCGCGTCACTTCGCGGGTCACCGCGTATTACGGTGGAGGCCGTTCCTCGGCGACATGCAAACAACACAGCTCTCAAAGGTGCCTGTGAATAACAGCCTCGAGTTTATTCTCACAGCTCCTTTCATAGGAGCTTCAAATCTCCCTCGCTTACACCGTGATCGGTTGAGGTCTCAGCACCGTCCAACTCCCTGGCCAGTGACAGCTCTGCATTTAGGGCTGAAGGACATTGGCTGAGGGTCCCTGTGTAGAACTGAATCCAAGCTATCCTTGTTCACCCAGGGACTTGTTTACTTCTAGGCTGGTTGAATTTGGGGGGCAGCTTCAGACTGGCTGCTCTGTGACACCCCTGCCCTGTGTCCCAGTATAGACCAGTATGGACCAGTATGGACCCATATAAACCAGTACAGACCACTATAGACCAGTATGAATATCTACAGACAGTAGAGATTTCTCCCTTCCCTGACCAGTATAGACCAATTCAGACCAGTATAAACCAGTGTAAACCAGTATAGACCAGTATGAGACTCTGTAGAGCAGTAAGGATCAGTATGAACCAGTATTGACCAGTATGAACCAGTATGCTCCCCAGAGCAGTGGGGAGCAGTTCAGAGCAGTTCCGACCAATATGAGTTTCTACAGACCAGGAGGGACTTTCCCCTGCCTTACCCAGTATAGACCAGTATGAACCAGTATAGACCAGTATGAACCAGGACAGAGCACTGGGGACCAGTTCAGATTGGTATGGACCAGTATAATCAAGTTCAGACCAATATGAACCAGTATGAATATCTACAGACCAACAGAGACTTTCCCCTGCCCTGACCAGTATGAACTAGTTCAGACCAGCATAAACCAGTATGGACCAGTAAAGAGCAGCAGGGGCAGCCGGGGACACAGGAAACCAGTTTGGACCAGTAGAGACCAGTAGAGACGAGCTCAGACCAGTATGGAACGCCACAGACCAGTGGAGACCTTCCCCTGCCCTGGGATGGGGACACTGGGATTGAACTGTCACACTGGAGGGAACACTGGGATGGAACTGGGGACACTGGGCTGGGGACATTGGTATGGGGACAATGGGGTGGTGGCACTGGGCTGGCACTGGGAGCACTGGGGTGACACTGGGATGACACTGGGATGGAACTGGCGATACTGGGCTGGTGGCACTGGGATGGAACTGGTGCCACTGCTCTGTCCCTGGTGCCACTGCTGTGGTGACCCCCATGTCCCCACAGTGTCTCCATGTGACCCCAGTGTGTCCCCCAGTGGCCCCAACAGGACCCCAGTGTGTCCCCGAGTGTCCCCAAGAGGACACTGGGGAGACAGCTGGGCCTTGCTGGGGACACTGGGGGGACATTTGGGCTCTGTTGGGGACCCTGAGGGGACCCTGGCCTGGCCGAGGAGGAGGTGGCCTCAGCGGTGGCTGCGCTTGAGGCCCGGGTGGCAGCCGCCACCAAGGTGGAGGAGGCGGCCACCAAGGCCATGGGAGAGGCCATGGTAGCCACCAGCCAGGCAAAGGTGGCCACCAGCAGGGGACAGCAGGCAGAGGCAGCCCTGGGGCTGCTGGAGCGCTTGGTGGCCGCGTGTGACAAAGCCACTGCGTTGCCCCGGGAGCTGCAGGGTCATTTCTGGGACATTGAGGCCACTCTGAAAGGGACAAATCAGGCATCCCCCAATGTCCCCAAGGCCTTAGTGGCCAAAGTGGCCGAGGCTGAGCAGCTGTGGGAGGCCAGCGCCTGCCTGGCCACGTGTCACCTGCTTGGGGACACTTTGGGACATCCACGCCCTGCTCTCCAGTCCTTGTGGTGGCCACAGTGGCCCCGATGGCCGTGTGGTGGCTCAGTGGTGCCAAAGAGCCATTGAGGACATCCCGAGGCTGCTGTGGGCACAGCAATGTCACATCACCAGGGCAGTGACACCATCGGGGACATCGCCGCTGTCCCCTCTCCCCTCCCTGCACAGTATTTGAGACAAATTTGGGGAATTCTCTGGGAATTTTCATTGAAGTTGTCCCAAGTCCTGATGGGAATTCATGGGGTGATGTCACTGGGGACACTAGGGGACATTCTGAGGACACTCTGGGGACACTCATGGAGGCAGGGGCAGGTCAGGAGGTGAATGAGCCCCCTCGGTGCCTTGCAGCAGAGGCAGTTTTCTGCCATGCCTGCAGCAGAGCTGGGTCATAAATGACGATATAATAATAGGATTTTGCATTTCTGTATTGGCTTTTGCACATTGTTATTGATCACAAGTATTTGATATGGTCCTGTTTGATAATTCCTTTTAGCTGCTTTTGGGTACAACATAATCTATCAGTTTAACTGCGCCCCATATAGCCTATTTAATGCTAGAGTAATAAAGAGATATTATGTCATATGCCTTAAAATGTTAAAAATAGATAAATAATAAATATTAAAATAGAGCCTATGCAATGGTAAAATGCTTTTATATAACAAACTCAGGTGTAAAACAATTACGCTGTTTCTCACATCTGCGGACCGGCCTCTCCAGGTGACAACAGTGACA